TTTATCACCTTTTCACTTGTAAGAAAATATTGTGTCTTGTTATTTCCTACATGTATGCAAACGGTTTTTCAATGGAATGTAAGAAAAGTGTGTAAGTCAATTTTGCTAATTTTCTGAATGTGTGATATTAAATACTTAGTTATTTCTCAATCACTTCTTTGACCATATAAAAAATAAATTGAACTGTAACATTCTTTCCTATCAGTAAACTTAGTGGGAGTCTGCACTTTCAACCTTAATTTTAAAGTGTATTTGGGAAAGTTTCCATAAGCATTAATATGTTGGCTTTTGTGTTTGGACTTGTCTCTATAAAAATTATTTAAAGAGGTTAGAGTTTTGTTTGCCATATGTTTAAATATACAACCAATTGTCCAAACCCTAAAGGCGAACTCTCCTCTCAGTACTTTAGACAACTTGATTGCATTGTTTGTTTCTTGAGAGTGAAATTGAAAATAAAATGTGTCAGAAACCATATCTGTATGTACCTCTTGATCTGTTTTGTGAGTCTGTCTGCAAAATCTTAACAGTTTCTTTTCAGTGTCGTTTTTTGGGTTTATCATAATTTTCTTTTGTCTTTCGTGCGTGAAGTTTCTGAGCAGTGTTAATATTATCTACGTCACGTTTATCTTTTGATGACTGATACCAGTCTACTTTTGCCATTGTCCTCATAAAGTGGTGAATACGGGTTTTGTCCCCTGAATGCATTTGCACAGGACCCCATAGAGTATGTTTTGGATGCATGAAAAAGAGGTCTGAAACAAGCAAATATATTTACGGGGAAACAAGTTTGAGGGGTGTTTTTCTTACATCATGAAAATCTATAAAGTTCTGTTGTTTATACTCCAAAAAATGATTGATCTGGCATGTCCTCATAAGGCTTATACTGCATGCCAGCAGTGTGGATTGTCCCCACAGCTGTGCCAATGCTGGTATGGGTGTACTTGTAGTTGAACTTACATGTTGTTTGCAATAAATGTGTATGTACTCAAAAGATAAATCATCTGAGATTTTTATATTCAGAGGGAAAAATAGTTGCGACAAACGTTACACAATAGTGGACAGGCATTTGCAATTCCTAAAATCAAATCTTAGGTTTGTCGTCTGATTGAAAAAACAAACAAATACATGTATGATGCAAACTACTGGTATTATTGTAAGAACTTTTCTCAGGAAAACTATATTTTGATATACATGTACATGTATACATTTTGAGGATATATCACGATACAGTATATGAAGTTATCTGCTCAAAGAATTGCACAATCAGCCTGTTTCATGTTTGTCACTCTGTGGACAGACACAGTGACGTTGGTTATTCCTTAATTACGTGTAGCTCTCCTGAAATTCGTACAGGTTTAACTTAAAGTAATAAAAGGCCATAGATTTTGAAATATTTCTCCAATGTTATACAGGTACTTGTTTTACCCATGTTTTAACAGATGAATTGCTTTTCTCCATGAGAGTGGTACCGGTGTTTTAAATAACCTGAAAAACATGAGTTGACATAGTTACAGTACAAGTACACATGTCCCACTGGAACCCATGAAATACATGTACAGTACATGTAAGCTGGGTATTTTCATCAAAATCCTATTAAAGTGTGTAAACTATATCTTTACAGTTACAAATTTATAATACTGTATTAGTATAATTATTGAAGTTCATTTCTTAATTCTCAAGGCTTTTAAAGAAAGAGGTGATTCTGCTTATATGCAAATGTGTCTTTTAGTGTAGACAGACCCTCTTAAAAATCGGTTTTCAATGTTCCTCTTGTTCAACCAACTGTTTAACAAAAGTGTCCACTTTCCTTACCCTGTATAAGGAATTAAGAAAAATTTTAAAATAATGATGGGTGAAGTAGGTGTGTGCAACACATTCATGTTTAGTCGACTGATTACAAGGCAGGTGAATTCAGGCTTGAATGCTCTTACAATGTACATGTACCGGTATGTACATGTATGTACCTTCCACTTAATGGTGTATTCTGGAAGTACTGGTAGATCTGATAAAATTGGCAAAACTGTCAATCTACACTTCAAATTTGTCCTAAAATTAATGTGTTGCTACAATGGTATACTACATGTACATGTAGTATTGTAAATCAGATTTTATATTAAAATGTGTACAAACAAATGAACTTTGTAACGAAAAGGCCGAGTTGAATCTTTGATGATGTATGCATGGAGTTTGTGTATGCAACATCTGGGTCATCTCCAAAAAACTCGAGTGCCCGGGTCATTTCAGAGGCTCAATTCTGATGGTCGAGACTCCTATACAATTCACTCTTCCGATTAAATAAAGTAACCAATCACATTAAAGTATTATATCAATGAAAAGCTTATACCCCAACCATCCTTAAACCACTTATGTCAAGCCCACTGGACTGGGACGGGGCAAATGTCAGTGTGCTCTGATGGAACAAAGTGAACTCTTTGGGGGGAGGCCCTGCTGATTTTTTGTCGATTTCAGAAAATGAATTATCACAGAAAAGACTGCCCCTAATTATCAGGTTGTGAAAATTGCACATCTCGGGAGTCCAACACCACACCTCTTGGGTGGTGCTTGGAGCAAACAGCAAATTCACCTTTCAGGAACCTTGAGTGTTTAAATACCAATATTTATCCAAATTCTTGCATTTTAGCTATTAAGCTGTCCTACATGTACATGCAGTGGTTGTTCAGGGTCTTGATCATAAGTGAACAGTATTTTCATATCAATATGAGTCTATGGGCTTTAGACTGTTATTTTGTGCCAGTCATGAGCCTAACTTTGCACACTAACGTGACATACTGTGCGGTACTTCACTGTGGTGGAGGTGACAATCTGCCTCTCTCTAGCAGGACTTTATTCTGTCGGAACACAAAGTTCATGTTTGTGTAAAAACTTTTTATTTTTCGTTCATTGTTATGTTTAGTTTTGGCATGTTTATATTGACAGATTTACCGCTAGTTTGTACATATATACACGTACATATAGTTTATGTGGG